ATGGGTGGTAGGGGACATTAAAATAAACCATTTCTGATATAAAAATGCATGTACGATAACTCTTCGTTTTTAAGATACATAGTACTTGTAAAAGTTTTAAATAAAAATCGAGTTTTAGTTAATAGAGAGTTATTGCAAGTTCACTTAAGGTCAGTCACTATTAGTGCCGCTCTTATTTTGACATCTGAGCATGCGTAGATCACTAACTTTAACAAAGATTGTGCCTGTCCTTAAAATAAAGTTATTGCAAGTTCACTTAGGGTCAGTCACTATTAGTGCCGCTCTTATTTTGACATCTAAGCATGCGCAGATGTTTATGTTCTAAAACTGACTTTATTAAGGATTGTGCCTGTCCTTAATTGTGGATGTTTAAGGGCAGCAGGTAGTGGCGACTTTATAGCTTTCGGATGCGCTCGTCATTTAAACCTTCTAAAATTATAATTTATAATGCCTCTTTAATATTAGGTACTTTTATAGAATTTATTTGACTATAATTACGATGTCACTATTAGTGGCTGGCTTTATAGAAATTTGCAATATCTCTCTATTAAGGATAGGCACAATATTTATTAAAGTGAGTGATCTGCGCATGCTCAGATGTCAAAATAAGAGCGGCACTAATAGTGACTGACCTTAAGTGAACTTGCAATAACTCTCTAATGTCTCGAAAACATTTTAATCGATTTTAATAAAATTTTCAAAGTTTGTTGATATCCTAATGAAGTGAATAAGTGTATTTTGACATTTCCTGTGAAGTTTTTTTGGGTATTTTATTTGGGTGGTAAGGACCTATCTAGAGCACTTATATTTTATTAAAATATAATTTAACTTCATTTATATATAAAAATGTAGTTTGTGGATTGAATGCCTCCAAAAAATCCATCGAAATTAGGGTCAGGTCATTTCAACTACATACAGAGTCCACCTAAAAATTTCGGATGGCCTTATTTCTGGTAAAATTTAAGTTGGAATCATGAATTTTTGGGGATGAGGCAGTGCATCGAGGCAAGAAATTCCACATACCTTTCATACATAGGTAACTTGATTTTTCATAGCAAATAAAATATATTATTAAAATTTTAAATTAAAATATTCTAAAAAGTAAAGTAATCTTTGTAATTTGTAACTTTTTTTAATATGGATGATTTATTCAAAAAAAGTGCTTTCTCATAATCCTTTGCAATCTATGCAGGGTACCATTGAACATTTTGAGGTAAGGGTAGATTGATGCAAATGGAGAAAAAAAAAAAGATATAAAAGTATTCGAAGTACGATCCCTATGCACTGCTTCATATCTTAATAATTCATAATTTATGTTTAAATAGAAATAAACAAAACCGAAGTTATCGCGCGTATACCCGGTATATACATATATCTTTTAAATGGATATAATTTATCCTTTTTTTTAATTAATGTGTATTAAGATGTACATGATTACGTTCATATCTTCATATTTTTCAAATTTAATTGGCACTGGCGAAGCCAACAGTATGTTCACGATTATACGTATATAGGGCGTCCCGTTAATAAACCGCCAAACTTTTAAGGGTGGTAATATGTAAATATAAATACAGAAATTTTAGCTAGAAAGCAATATATTTTTGACTAAAAATCATATTTTAGTCAAGTTATCAATCGGCCGTCGGAATAGTAGAGGTTAAAACGGCCTCCGTCAACGAAAAGACAATCGCTCCACCTACAATCCCAATTTATATGTTCTTGAGTCCATCTTCTCCTGTTGGCCCGGTGAATGTCTGTTTAAAGTGGGCATTTTGGCCGACGGCAAGCATTCAATCCCTGATCATGTAAGCGTTTTCTAATATTGTCTGCTGAAACATTTAACTGCAGTTGCACTTTGATTCTCTTGGCAGTCCAAATTCTGTTTCTGATTGCAATCCGTACTACTGCTCGATCCTGACGAGAATTAGTTCTTTTTCGAGATACTCCCTCGTGTAGGTAAGCAACAGTACCATTGTTACCTTCTATTAGCAACGCTTTTCCAACGAATGATTTACTCTTGACATTAAGGAACTTAGAAATCTCTCTTATTGTATGATTTCTCTACCGCAGTCTTAAAATATTTACCAAATCTGCAGCCGTAAGTTGCGCCATTTGGACGATAGCAATTTATTTTATTTTTGACTTATGCAATTTAACGTCAAAACTTTATCTCTGTGGTAATATTTTTGTCGCCTTCTTAATAAAAATGCAGAAATAAAGTTTCGTCAAAGCAAGTGACCCGACTTACAAATGCAAAAATGGTAGATATCAATTATTGCTTACTGATACTATCAGTAGGCGCTTAAATAGCTTCAAATGGAACCCCCCCCAATAACTTTCAGAGACACGAAAAATTTTTTTAAAATATTGACATGTGAATATCACAAACTTTGGCGCCGTACAACATAAAAACGGTTTTATACTTTCTTTGAATTAGTCAAAATCAAACTCATTACAGTTGTGGAACCTTTTAAAGTGCAACGCTTAACAAAAGTGTTAAAATTTTCAAATAAAATCAAGTTTTCGGTTTTTTAATTTCATAAAACCTTTTTTCACGCCTCTGGTGTTGACCATTTTCTTTACACGTTATTACTTGATGCAGTTTAGTCGGTACCTGTTGTTCTTTAATTAAAGATAGACTAGTTTTAAAAGAAAAATGGAATTTCCTAAAATATTTTCATAGTAACGCAAAGTATCAAAAAAATGGGAGAGACGTCCCAAAGGTGTCGACCTAGTGATCCACTCAACATCAGAAAGAACTTGATTTAGCCCCCACATTTTCCAATTTCTTTGCCAAAAAAGGATATTTTTCGCTGCCTTACATGTACACTCTGTACAACTAGAAGGGGTTAAAAAAACATAATCGATGCCACTGACGCAAACACCAAGGATGTCACTTTGCACTTCTGGCTGAAAATCCAACATCTGCAAAGAAATGTCGAAGTTATAGCTAGTCAAAATTAGGCTGTCCCACTTCATCTGCAGAGTGTATGATAGCAGCGTCCTTTTTTTTCATTTGGTCTCTCTCTGCACCAGCTGAGGCTGTTGGGTACAACCACATACTTTGATTACTATACGAGGCAAGAGAGAGGTCCGACACGCCCAACATAGGGCGCGGCCATTTTGAACCCTGTGACATAGTTTACAGCTAAAGAATCAGATCGCTTACTCTGTGTCGGCACTTTTGATCTCAATGTTTCAGTTTATACACTGTGCAACTCGGATAATACAATATATGACAACCGCCTACAATAAAACAGCAGTCTTCTGCGTATCCTGAATTTGTATCCCTGTAGTGGATGTTATTTTGAAACTTTCAACTGGTCCGAGTGAGCTAACTGATTCTTTAGCAATAAACTGTGACTTCAAAAATAATATTCACTGACACTGACAGCAGCAAGCAAAATATCAGGTGCGTTTTAATCATTCGCTTCTGCTTCCGGAATTGTCGGTTTAGTCGTTTTAACCTGTCAGATTAAAACAAGAAAACCGACAATTCCGAAGCAGAAGCGGATTATTAAAACGCACCTTTTAAAAATATTGCGCCAAGATGTAGGCAACACGTAATAAGGGTTCAAAATGGCGGAGTTTTCTACCTCATTTTAAAAGGCACTCAGAAAGCTGCGCAGTGCGACCATTCTCCGTATAGTAAAAGAAAATCAAAGTATGTGGGTACAACGCAGAGATAACAGGAGATGTAACTACTAACAAATGTGCGGTCCTGAATAAGACATATTCTAAGGGTATAATATCCGCTCTTTTCGTATGTCTATTTTATTATTCTCGTTTTGTTTACAAAATTCTTTACATATATTAAAAAAAACTAAATTAATTCAACCTATTTTATTGCAGCTGAACCCAAAAATTTTTGAATCATTGGTTATATCAAATTTAATCAAATTAGATGTAATTTCACTAAATTAAATGTAATAATTTTCAATAAATTTCAAAACCTAATAATTTTAAGTTGGACGCGGCAACAGGGCTTACACCGGCATGGATATCTACGTTTTTTATAAGCGCACATCACCTGTTTATTCATTGATAAAATAAAATATCTGCGTAAAATCCTTCTCTTTATCCCCTCTCTTACTTCTCACGTTTCGTCTCCTCGCCGCGAACCTACAAATGGAGCGTATTGATTTTCGACTTAATCTTGGCATCGTGAATATTATATTTTATTATATCTCTGTTATCTCTGGTGCAACGAGATGTTCTGTGTAGTGTACTACATTTTTTTTAAATCCATTACAGAACATGTTAACAAATAAGATATACACAAATGTTTTCCAAAAATATTGAATGCTAGTAAAACGACTTTCAAATTAATAAAAAGAAAAGAATAATAATTACAAAAAACACTATTTAAAAATCTAAATAAAATTATTTGTTTAGCAATGGCCAGTTCGATGTTTGAATCGATGAAGAAAGATTTTCCGCATCCTATATGGTATAATGCTGATTATAGAAAAGTAGAAACTCAATCCCACTCAAGTAATGACAATAATAGCGACGACGAAGATATGCCAGAAAAAGAAAAAGCTGCCGATGATTCTGACGACGATAGTTCAGAATCTTCATGCGAGACTGATAATGATAGGTATTTATTTTTTATAATCTTAATGCTTTCTTAAATAAACCTAATGATACAGTGACTTACAAACTAATACACAGGTTGTAAAAGCATAGATGTTAATACAGATCAATCTCTATAGGGTGTTATTGAAATGCACGTATATATTATAATTTGATTAAAAAATTTATTTTATATATTGTGTTAACTCTCGCCTTACCAAAAGTGGGTCAGCGATGACCCGAAATCTAATTTTTCAGGAATATTTATTATGTCTTTATTTAACAAATGTACATTTGCCCAAAGAAGGCGAAGATTAGCTAGCAAGCTACTCTTTAACTCTTAACCTTCTTTGGTAATAATCTAAATATAAATACATATTCATAACATATTTAAAAAAACAATCAGAAGAAAACATTCTTCAAACAGCAACATTTATAATATAATAAAAGAGAAGGAAAACAATAATTTAATTTAGCAGCATTATATGAAAAAGATCTTTCAAACATACAAGAATAGTGCTGAGGCATTGTGAGAGTATTATATTTCGATCATGAACTGAATTTCTAAATATCAATTTTTCAAACAGATAAATGGGGGTTTTTGTTTTTAACAATCTATATAAAAATCTGATGTGTCCAACACATGACTTTCCTATCTAGTTATTATAGGCTTTTTCCGGTTATTTTGTACAATCTATTGTAGCACCTGTATAAATATTTAGAGGATAAACTAAATATATACATTTTCCACATACATCTAACTCGAAACATTTTTCTATAGATATTTATTGAAAACGATAAATACTGAAAAATTTAAATTTAGCCCTTTTCCTCTAATTTTTCCATTACGGTCCATTTTAGAAAAATCATGTAAAAACAAAAATTATAGAGATCGATATCGCAAACAACTTTTAGTTCAACAATTTTCTTAAAAATCAGAATTTTTGCCCATTTTGTCAAATTTCTCGAATACGGACCATTTCAGGAAAAATTGACATAAAGTAAAAATTATAGATAATAATATTAGAAGTAACTTTTATTTTTTCTTCAAACATAAATAGGAGATATTCCATAAAATATAAAAACGGCCTCCCATAAAGTATACCCCCCTCCTCGATATGTTCCGACTTTGTCCAAAATCTAATCATTTCACGTCAGGCCGAAATTAAACTTAAGTTTAAAATTTAATGTTTTTTCCTTTATCCGTTTTTGAGTTTTCTTCAAAATTCGAAATTTACACATTTTCTCAAATATCTCGAATACGGTCCATTTTAGAGAAATTATGTAAAGTATAAAAATTATAGAGAATTATGTTACAAACAACTTTTATTTGAACAATTTTTATAAAAAATTATTTTTTTACATTTTGTCAAATTTCTCGAATTCTCGAATTTTAGGAAAATTTTGTAAAAAACAAAAAATATTGATAATAATATTTTAAGTAACTGTTATTTGAAAAATTTTCTTTTTCAAACGTAAATAACAGATATATTCCATAAAATATAAAAATGACCACTTATAAAGTACCCCCCAGATGTTCCGACTCTGCCCAAAATCTAATCAGTTTATTGGACGCTGGAACAAAGCTTAAGTTTAAAATTTAATGTTTTTTCCTTTATCCGTTTTTGAGTTTTCTTCAAAATTCAAAATTTTACACATTTTCTCAAATATCTCGAATACGGTCCATTTTAGAGAAATTATGTATAGTATAAAAATTATAGCAAATTATGTTTCAAACAACTTTTATTTGAACAATTTTTATAAAAAATTATTTTTTTACATTTTGTCAAATTTCTCGAATACGGACCATTTTAGGAACATTTTGTATAGAACAAAAAATATTGATAATAATATTTTAAGTAACTTTTATTTGAGAAATTTTCTTTTTCAAACGTAAATAACAGATATATTCTATAAAATATAAAAATTACCACCCATAAAGTACCCTCCCAGATGTTCCGACTATGTCGAAAATCTAACTCAGTTCTTGGACGCTGGAATACAGCTTAAGTTTAAAATTTGGTGTTTTTCTTTGTATCGGTTCATGAGTTATGGTGGATACAGACACACACACAGGCATCATTCCGAAAATAGTCAAAACGGATTCAGGGGACCCCAAAACGTAAAAATCCGTCGAATACTGGAGGTCGAAAAAAAATCATGATTCCTATACTATAAAGTACTATACTATAAAGTAAAAAGGTAATAAAGTTCAACTGAAACAAATTTTCAAGTTTTAACCACTTAAGTTGTGTAAAATAAGCAGATATGTGATCAAACTTTCTCAATTTGTAAATAAATCTGCAGCAGCCATTTTGGATACCTTGTAACTGGTTTCTGGATGCTTGATCCAGACATGGATAATAAACGAGTAAACAATAATTCAAGCGTGATAATACTAAGGATTCGATGAGTTTTTTTGCGTATTTTAAAGTTGAGAATGTGTTTGTTCACATACAGCAACCGCAATTTTATGTAACATGATTGAATCAAATTTTTGGTATGGCTTTTAAATATAAGAGACGTATCAACTATCAAGCCTAAATTTTTGGCTTCATTTGATATTTTTAGCTTAACTCCATCTAATTCAAGCTTCAATAAACATTCGGTATTAAAATATTTATTTTTATTACAAAAAAGAACTGCCGTTGTTTTGGTAGGATTTAAAGATAAATTATGTTCTTTAGAATATTAAGAGATTAATTTTAAGTCCTGATTGATATTAATATTTGAGTCCGCGGTGTTTGAAGTTGGTAAATAATGTAAGAGCTGAGTATCATCAGCATAAAGTTGTATTTGACTGTTTTTTTGGGACCTTCGGCAAGTCAGACGTGTATACAAGAAACAGTAAGGGACCCAAAATGGATCCTGAAGAACACCTGAGATAATGGCTTTAGAGATGGATAGTTTTCCGTCAGTGAACGTTTCCAAAGATACGACTTAAAAAAGATAAAAAAAAGGTCATTGCATCCATAATATTTGAGTTTTGCAATGAGTAACTCATGGTCTATAAGGTCAAAAGCTTTTGAATAGTCCAAAATAATTAATATAACAGCTAGTTTTTTGTCAGGAGCACTAATGACATTATCGGTAAGATTTAACATAGCTGTACTGGTACTATGAGCTTTTCTAAAACCAGATTGCTCAATAGGAAGAATTGCATTTACTGTTAGATAATCATATAACTGATTAAATACAACTCTCTCAAGGATTTTAGAGATAACAGATAATAAGCTAATGGAGTTTCCGTATAAATAAATAAATAAATAAATCTTGGAACTGTTTAGGATTGGATTTTTTGGGAATCGGACGGACTATGAATTCACGCCAGGCCTTTGGAAAGTAACCACTTTGTAAACAACAATCAATTATATGAGTTATATGGTCAAGAATTGTAGGTAAGCATAACTTTAACATATGGAGTGAGATACCATCATTACCACTAGCATTGAATTTAATCGAATTTATAGCGTGGAGAATCGTGTCCTGATTAACTAGAGAGAATTTAAATCTACGATTATTTTCAAAACTATTATTTGAATAGAAATATATTTTATCTCGGCAATTGTCTGTTTTTTTGAAAACACTAGCAAAGTAGTCAATTATTTCATCTGGATTGCTTAAAAGCAAGGGTAAGTCTGTATTGCAACTTGATGATTTAATATTTAAATTTCTAAAACTTCGCCATAAAAGTTTTTCATTTTTGTCATTTTGTAAATTAAATAAATATGCTGCTTTTTTTCTCCTAATTGAAGCGAGTGCATAATTTCTGCATTTCTTATAGCGACTCCAGTTTTCCGGTGTTTTGGCAGATCGGAAATTAGTTAACGCTTTATCCCTTTCTTTTAGTATTAGTTTTAGAGTATCTGTAAGCCAAGGCGCATGTGGTTTGCTAAGTCTAATAGTTCTATAGGGAGCATATTTATTGAATAAATGGTTTATAATATCTGTAAAAAATTTAACTTTGTTATTTATATTCTCTATAACGAATATTGTGTCCCAGGGAATTGCAACTAAATCTGCTTTGAAATCAGTATTTTTAAAAATTTTAAAATTACGAATGGTAATATAAGTTCTGTCATTGTTCTCATAATTTATAACAGAAAAGTCAGTTACAATAATACAATAAATTTAAAATGAACAAAACCTGGGAGAAGTTTTTCATGCAACCATTTTACAAACATTTCTGTGTTCATATTATCGTGATAGTCAGTGGATTTTGATTTAGATGAAAATATTAAATCAGCACCTTCTATAAAACCCGATTTCCCTCCTGCATGTAAAATTTTGTGTCGCTTCCCTTCTCCATCGGTATGTTTGATGGACTTTACGTTATCATCTTGCCATATTCTCTTGGTTGCACCCCTAGAAAATATCCATGTTTCGGCTAAATATATAAAATTCTTCTTTAAATTTAGAATATTTTCTTAGAAAGTTATTTCACGACAGAATTTCTTTCACAAAGGGCCTTTTTGTTATCCTCCTTTTGAAATTTGAAACCCAAGTTATGTATCACTCGCTATAGACTTTTTCTGCCAATGTCGTCAAATTTTCTATCTATTAATTCCGAGAGAATTGTATTTAAGATCACATGTTCCTTGTTGGCCCTCATTCGATAAATGGTATCACGAATTTCAAATTTCTTTCCATCTGGAATATCTTTCGTTTTCAATGATGGGCGAGTTTTGCGATGATCTTCTTTCGGCAGTTCACTATTGTGATTTTGTAATACTCCTCTTAATTTGGTTTCACTAATTCCTAGAGCATCGCAAACGCGTTGTTGTACAGACATTACCGATTTTAAAGGACCGCCATTTTCTTTTCCATCCGTAAAATACTTATGTACACTACAAATTAGACTATCTACATCTAACACACGTCTAGGCATTTTTAAAATTTCCACTAAATTTACAATATACATACAATGTCAACACTTGCAAAGAATCAATTCAACTGCAATATTTGTAACACATTTAGTATCTCTATCCTAATGTTATTTTAATTTAAATCTGACCATTAGGGCAATTTTATCTAATTTCTTGGGAAGAGGCTTATTGGAACTGGTTGTCAATGACTAATTTGCATAATTTTGTTAATCCGAAACCCGCGTAAGTATAGAGAACAGACTGTACGACTCTAAGTCGCCATTTTGTTTAAACTTTTGAGTCAGTCAGGCATCGCTAAGTGTCTCCATCATATCCCAAAATAGTGTTCATGTCGTCTCTACTTCATTCTATCTTGATGAGCCAAACACATGGAACTACACGCGGGAGCCACTGTCAAAGCTACTAGTCTAATAAAAAAAACAAGTTAGACGACATTCTCTAAAAAAATGGAGTCCCATAATAGTTTTGAAAAGGTCGCGGTGTGATGGACAGGGAAACGACTTTTTTGTAATGACCAAAGTTACCAAATTTAATAGATGGATATCCTATGACAAAAAAGATATTTTAATAATTTTACATTTAGGCTGTTATCACCAGTATTTTTTATTTTTTGGGAAGAAGACAGTTTTCTGTAAATTATTTAACTTTTTGGAAATTTTTCTCCGGAAAAGTACGATTCTTGTCTAGAACTGGTGCACTGTTTATCTTCTATGCTATTTGCTATTTTGGGTAGGCCCAAATGTAAATTTATAATTATTGATCGATGATTTTTAGAAAAAAACAGGTTCACTCACCATTTACTTAATGAAAAGATGGTTGTAGTGAATATTTTCAACAATTAGACAACAAAATTCCTTAAATAGTGACAATAGAATAATAATGGTTAAAAAAGGGGAAATTGATCAATTTTTAAATTTTAGAATTGAAAGTTTAAAATTAACGCCATTCATTTTGGACATCGTACACTTTTGCCACTATAAAATATGTACATGTATTTCAATAACACAATGTATTCATTACGCGGACATTATATGTATATTAAGTAATGTTTTGCTTTTTTTTTTTGTTTTTGTTTAAGATTTGTTCAAACTGATAAATACCTAATCTTTACGACTGGCTACAAAACCTACACACCACACCAAATAGGCTTCAAACGAATAAAGCCCTTCACGTTTCCTAAAAGAATGGATCCAGGACCAAGTTTAAAAGAAAGATTGATACTGTTTGAACAGAGGAAGGAACAGAGTCCGCCTCCTGATCCTGATTGGCTCAATTTTGACCAAGTTGCTGATAAGTTTGATAAGGTGGATCATTTAATTGATCTCCATGGGCATATTGTGGGCATGGGATTAAGTCCAGACCAAAGGTAACTTTCAGCAAATCATAACTAAATTAAATTAAATGTTGCTGGATATTAAGGTGATTACAACACCCCCTTATAATTTTCGGACAAGGATATCTCAAAAAGTAATTTTTTTTAAATTTAAATTTTGGAAAAATAAATAAGGCAATAATATCTAGAATATGCATATGTTTTAAAGTTTTAATTCCTTCCAGTTTCCGAGAAAAAAATCAAAGGGCTTTAAATTTTGAAATATCATGATGAAAATAAATGCCTTCCTCAACAGCACTATTCTTAATATAATCCATGAATTTAAGCTCTTAATGTCTTGTTAATGATTTTTTGAAATTCGCCAAAATTAGTGTCCAAGACGCCTCGTTAAGGGCTATCTTCTGGTGTAAATCATTTCAGGAAACGAATGATGACTGAAAGTGTACGATACGATAGTTTCAGTCGCGTTACAATAGAAGTTAAGTGTTCCTTAACACTTAACGAGGCGTTTTAGCCACTAATTTTGGCGAATTTTAAAAAATCATTAACAAGACATTAAGAGCTCAAATTTCGGGATTATATTAAGAATAGTGCTGTTGAGGAATGTATTTATTTTCACTACAATATTTCAAAATTTAAAGCCCTTTGATTTTTTTTCTCGGAAACTGGAAGGGATTATAACTTTAAAAAATATGCAAATTCTAGATATTATTACCTAATTTATTTTACCAAAATTTAATTTAAAAAAAAATTGCTTTTTGAGATATCTTTGTCCCAAAATTATAGGGGGGTTCTGTAATCACATTAACTTTTGTTTCATTTTTATTGAAACAAATTTATCCCAATTGATTTACATTTTCATAATTATTTATTTAGCAAAGGCTAATTTAGATTGTTTACAATATAATTCTTAACTTTTATTAGTTTTTATTAATTTTTAATAATTTTTATTAATTTTTATTAATTTTTATTAATTTTTATTAAATTTTATTAAATTTTATTAATTTTTATTAATTTTTATTAATTTTTATTAATTTTTATTAATTTTTATTAATGTTTATTAATTTTTATTAATTTTTATTAATTTTTATTAATTTTTATTAATTTTTATTAATTTTTATTAATTTTTATTAATTTTTATTAATTTTTATTAATTTTTATTAATTTTTATTAATTTTTATTAATTTTTATTAATTTTTAATAATTTTTAATAATTTTTAATAATTTTTATTAATTTTTATTAATTTTTATTAATTTTTATTAATTTTTATTAATTTTTATTAATTTTTATTAATTTTTATTAATTTTTATTAATTTTTATTAATTTTTATTAATTTTTATTAATTTTTATTAATTTTTATTAATTTTTATTAATTTTTATTAATTTTTATTAGTTTTTATTAATTTTTATTAATTTTTAATAATTTTTATTAATTTTTATTTATTTTTTATTAATTTTTATTAATTTTTATTAATTTTTATTAATTTTTATTAATTTTTATTAATTTTTATTAATTTTTATTAATTTTTATTAATTTTTATTAATTTTTATTAATTTTTATTAATTTTTATTAATTTTTATTAATTTTTATTAATTTTTATTAATTTTTATTAATTTTTATTAATTTTTATTAATTTTTATTAATTTTTATTAATTTTTATTAATTTTTATTAATTTTTATTAATTTTTATTAATTTTTATTAATTTTTATTAATTTTTATTAATTTTTATTAATTTTTATTAATTTTTATTAATTTTTATTAATTTTTATTAATTTTTATTAATTTTTATTAATTTTTATTAATTTTTATTAATTTTTATTAATTTTTATTAATTTTTATTAATTTTTATTAATTTTTATTAATTTTTATTAATTTTTATTAATTTTTATTAATTTTTATTAATTTAAGTTTTATTAATTTTTGATTAATTATTTTTAATCATTTTTATTATTGTTTATTAATTTTTATTAGTATATTTTTTGAGTGCGTTTTGTTCGTTTTGTTTACCTAAATTATATCGTTTTTTCACTTTTATAAATATATTCCTAAAGTAAGTAGATAACATGCATTAAATATAGAATGGTTTAGTTACCAATTTCATAGCTTTAAACTATTTTTTGTGACCTGTAAATAATATTTAGAAATAAACTAAAAACAGTAAAAACGTATATGTTAAATTTATTGATGTTTTTGTTAAAAGTTTGGTTAGAATTAATGACAGTGGAACCAAGCTTTGAAAAGTCCACGGACAAGTCTGACGGACTAGTCTGAAAAGTTGACTAGTCCAAACACACTTTTCAAAAGTAGAGTGTATTGCCCATGCGCTAAATTAAATTAACTAATTCGTCTGAATTTATTTATAGTTTATTTATTTAAAACACTTTATTTACAATTTATTTATAACGTACTAATTAATTTATATAATACTTAGGCACTATTATGACTCACAATTCTAATTTATTACAATTTATCTTTTCTGGCCAACACTTTAATTCAATCTGCCCGTTCGTCGACAACTCGCGCTATTTATATAAAGTCAGCTCTGTACCAGTAGTTTTTAGACGATCTCGAATGTTCAAGAATTCCATCTCTATAACTCAACGGCCACGTACCGTTTTTTTCTGGTAGCTTCTCGAAGCATTGCGTTTGTCTCTATATGGTCAGCGCTAGACTTCATACCGCGGGCAAGGGGTAAACAAAGCACACGGTTGGGTTTGCGCGACAGTATATCATGAAGAAATTTAAGATTTTTTTGTTTATTGACTTTAGTGATATATCGATTTTAAAATCATCAATTTGAGGCACATCCCAAAATTTTAAATATGTTTGCCTAGAATCTAGGTAGGCATGCTGGAAAAAATAGAGATATTTTTTCTTGTAGGCCTGTTTTATTAATCGCTTTTAGAGTCACTAAGCAATTCTATAATACTCCTACTGATGTCACTGCAGCAATCATCCTCTGAAGTAGATTCGTCTGACGATCCTGTATTTACAGTAAATACAAGAGAATCTACAGCAATATCCAGAATGTGTTCTTTTTTAATCCCTTCAGATTCAAATTTCTTTACATGTTCGCAAATAGAACATCATTATTAAATAGAAACTTCATAAAATTTCTTCCTGACTAATTTCTATGGTGGTATTGTGCACTGCCACCCAGTTCTTAACCAATGTCCAGATTTTTTCTATTGGGTTTAGTTCTGGATGATAAGGTGGCAACCGTAAGACTTTCTGCCCATGTTCTTTCAGTAAACAGTCCAATTTATAGGAAACAAGAATACCTAAACGATTTTTTTTATTAATTTATACAAAGCGGGTTTTGTCTTATTGGCACCATGGTCAACTTTGTGGGTCCTAAGCCATTTGTGCTTTCATAGATGCTGAAGTAATACTTTTTCAGTTTTCACGTTGTGGTGAGAAGCACTATCTACAACTAGAACTGATTTCTCAGGCATATTGGGCAATAGTTGTTCCTGAACCCACTTCATAAAGTTTAATGATTCATGTGATCATGGTAGTTTCCACTTTTAGAACATAAAAAAAAATAATCTAATTTGACTGTTAGAATGATCTTTTCTTATATACTGTTTTAAAACCAATGAAAAAAACCATAAATAACTCAACAATTTATCTAAAAATCAGTACATGTTTTTCGTTCTAGCCCAACATTTTTATGGACGCTAATGAGTGTGGTTTTTTGTTTTTCCACACATTCAAAATAAACCATTTTTACTACTATAGTCATTACTATTAAACAGTGTGGTTTCCTAAACTAAAGTTAAAACATGTTTTACCTGATATATACAGTGTTTATAAATATTTGGGACAATCGATACTTTTCAATATATGTAGAGACATACCTGAACGAAATATTAATAAGGCATTAGGAATAAATCCTTTTTCTTCACCTGCATGTACAATCACAAGTCTCCTTTCTTTTGGGATTGGCTTCTTCAAACCTTTTCCTGATATCATATCATACCATCCTTTAGATTGGACATGTGAGCTGTGAATGTATGTTTCATCAGTATATCTATTCCAGCCTTCATTTCTAAATTTAATAACATTTTCTAAGAATGTAATTCTTTTGAAGCGAATATCATAGGATTCCATAATCATCTTTCTGTTATCTTGTGTGTGCTGCCACCTACAATTAAGGCATTATTTTAAATGAAATACTTAGATATTGTGACATTAAAAATATTAATAAGTAACATGCATATTTTAGTCATATATTATTTTTTTCTTCTTAAAAGCCTACTAAAAGTACACCTCAACTTCAAAAAACTACTTACCTAAACCCCATACTTTTTAGCAGCCTCCATAAAAAAGTTTTATTTCCTGTAAATTCTGGTAGGACAGTTTGTACTTTGTGAAGAATGCCTAAAAATAGTATATTAAAGTATAAGCGGTAACGGCTTTAAAACACGCGCGAAATAGAGCAAGTGTTTTAAAGACCAGTTTTCCATGAATACTTTACGCTTTTTTTTTTATTGGTATACTTTGAAATCCTAAATATTGGTATTATTTCTATAAAAAATGGAAATAAGAACTAATAACTGAAAATGGTCGAATTTGTGATGTAACATCAGTATACCTCGTTGTCATGAAAATGAGACGAACAAAAATTTATTTTCAATCTGTCACGTAAGATTAATTGTCGCAACAGTTCTTATTGTTTAAAATGAGTTCAAATATTGAGTATTTAAATAATAAAGCATAATCGCGCTTAATACCACAAAAATCCGAAGCGGTTTATAAAAAAGAATACGATAAATTCAACACGTGGATGGAAGAGCAAATGGTTACACATATAGATGAACGAGTTGTTCTCGCTTATCTCCAGAAAATGTCGGAACAGTATAAAGTATCGACTATGTGGACTATCCATTCAAAATTACAAAGTATGTTGAGGATCAACAAAGGGGTCGATATAAAATCGTTCGTCAAAGCATTCATGAAGGCAATTAGCAAAAATGAGGTAGTCAAGAAGGCATATGTATTCGAGGAAGACGATTTGCGGAAGTTTTTTTACAGATGCACCGGACATTACGTATTTATTTTTGAAGGTGGTTGCTATTTGTGGCATCTTTGGCTCTTGTAGAAGATGTAAATTTTGCGATTTACGCTTAGCTGATAAATAAATTTTTTGAAAAATTTCTCAGAAATATTTTATTTGACATTACAAGGCACTCCTGTCTGATCAATATTTAAAAAGTTGGCATTTGGACATCACGTTTCTCGGGTTGTTGATGTTGCCATGGTAACTTTAAAACACGCGCGTTTTTTAAAGTTCGTTTTAAACACGCTGAGGCGTACTTTAAATAAGTAAAATAGGGTACCAATAAAAAAAAATATTTTTCTATACAAATTATTAAAAATCGAGCCTAAAAACTTTTTTCTGTTTAAAAGTGAACTGACAGAGGTTTCATGTGAATAATTTTAGCATCTTTCAATGGTACAATATAAAAAACCTGATTTCAGACACTTTCTATCAAACTTATATTTTAAACTAGGAGCCCTTTTCTCTAGGATGTAAAAATCATAAACGTTCTCCCGAATCGTTTCCAGTTTTCCAAGTTTTAGTGCTTCCAGTACTGATTTTTTTTTTCTTCGGTTTCTTTTTTCGAAGAGATCCAAAGAAAGTAGATGCTCCTCTTTCAACAGCTAAGGCTTCCTTTTTAATTCTGGTGTAAGTACTTTTACTCGTACCAGTTGCTTTTAGAGTTCGCTCTGTGCAATTTAAAAATATAGGCATTAAAAATCAATCATATTTACATTGTATGGTTGTGGAAATACTCCTAGTCCCTAAACAAGTTAGTTGCTAACGATACAAATTAAATTATGGCTAAAAACAAATAAGATCACATTTCAATAAAATGATGTATAGGTAGTAATAAATATCTGTATTTTATCAAAATTTATTCTATTTTTTTTCTCAAGGAAAATAGAGATTGCGTATATTAAAAAGACTCGATCAGAATATATATTTTACAAATTAAAGAAATGTAACACTTTTTATAATGACTCGATTATTTAAACACGATATGAATAACAAAATATATTTATTAACGAAAACAATAAATAGAAGTGAACCCTTTCGAGGCAAATTACAGACTAATATTTTATATTAACGAAACAAAGCCATGCTATCGACAATAACGTAACCCTCTATGAATCAACTATGCGTCATTATCGGCTACACGTTAAAGAATGTGTCTTATCATATCACCCAAATTCAAGTAATACAGGGATGTTCCAAAGTTCGTAACATTGTCTTGCAAATATATCAAGACACATAGTTTTTCATTGTATAAAATAAATATTTTCTTTACAGGCAAAACCATATAAGTCGAACACTTTTTAGCAATTATTTTTAAATCAGAGTACTACTTTTCTAAAGACTTAATAACAATCTCAATGCTACAAACTACTGACAAAATTTACTATTTCACAAATATTTGTTCTACAGATAAAATTTTACACCCAAAGTTTGTATGTTTATGACAAAATATGTAATTAGGTGGTATTTGCAATAAGGGCATGGTTTATAATCAACAATAACATAATGAAACAACAGATCTTTTTTGTCCAAAGACATGTCACGATGTCGTATTTTTTGTACCAGTTTCGTTTTTGAAAGAAAATACAAAATATAAGAAAATATAAAATTTATTCAATCTCAACCACACCTCATTTATTTTAACAATATTTTTAAATGTCTTGGTACACTTACCACATTTCTCAAGCTTGGAGCACGTCACAATCTTCCCCAAAAGGCACAATGGAAAACTTTTTTAATTTATAAGGATTTTAAATTATATCAAAAAAAAATGGCTTAGTGGAGTCTCTTTTCGAGTCCACCTTTTTCGCTGTCGAGTTTACAACTAACTTCCTTGTTTAATTTTCATATCTAATTTTTTGAATATTGCCGATCTGCAAAATTTTACGTAGTTTAATCAAACTTAAATTACGTGGTTGATGACCTGATATTATTTTAATTAAGCAATATAATTTCCTTATTATTTCCTACGTATATTAGCAATTCGGCAGTATTTTGTAATCGCTTTTAAATTTGTTTAATTATCTATGTTTTAAAAAATGCTGAATAAAAAATAAAATGAATTTGTTTAATTTACTTTAAAAAATACTAAGAAAAATTATTATTATTTTTTGGGATTTGTGACAATATCTAGTCTATTATTAAGTATATAAATTTGAGAGAGAATACATGTAAATTCTGACTGATCAGGTTAGGAATAATGTATTCTATTTTATAATCTGCCGACCTTGACTATGGATAATTTTTCCCTTTAAACCAACATATTTTTTAGGAGGCATGGTTTTAGATTAAATAAAACACACAACACTCACTTATAAACGTCTTAAAATAGTCGAAAATTAAACATATTTAACAAATAAACGATTCCAAGAACACAACCTCAAATGTCAAACGCTAACGTCGCTAACAAATAAATAAATAAATAAATAAATAAATAAATGGCTATTGGCATAAAAATGTTCGTTCTACTCCAGTAGCGTGACCCTGTCGTTACTAAGCGACGTAGGTGAACAAGATATAATTTGGTTTCTGCGACTGTCAAATGTAGAATATTGTATTTAAAATATTTGGAATAAGATGCCTTCTGCACTAAAGACTTTAGAAATCAGACTATCAAAATTGAAGTCATTCCTGTATGATAAAGCATAATTACAACTTAGACGAATTCTTCTGTGATTCAGTTATATAAAAAATTGATTATTAAGAACAAAAATAATAAATATATAAAAAAAATGTTTATTCAAAAAATGTATTTAATGTGTATTTATATATAAAATGTATATTTATGTACTATGACATGCTCTACACCTCTAAAGTTATTTTTGGAGTAATTAAAGATTTTTCTTTTTTTCTTCTTTTTAAATTGTTATTAGTTTACTATATTTATTTTTGTAATATACACCGATATATATTTTATAAATAAGGAATAATCATATTTATCAAACTGTTGATTAACAGAGTGGGTGACTACACAGTCAAATGCTTTAGTTAGATCTGCAAAATCGTACCAATTGAAAAAATTGGAGTAGAACAAATAATCAATTTTCTTTTTTTTATGTAGTTTAAAATCGAAATAAGTAGGTTTTTAGAATTTTTAAAAGTATTTTCCTTTTCAGATATCTTTACGTTAATAGTAGATCGTGGCCCGAAAACTACGTGATAAGCAATCCTCTAGAACCTCCGCCGATAGCACAAGAAATTGATATACACGTAATAGATTTAGTGACATTGAAACAAGTAGGAACAATGCTCAGGGCACATAAAGCTTTCACGCCGAATAACGAATGTTTTTTTATATTTTTGGACGTTTGCAACGAATATGTAGCGAGGTAAGTTGATATAAACTTCGACAATGTTTTTGAAATGTCGCAAATATCAGTCGCAATGACGAAAATTCAAATGAACACAGCTTATTCAATACCCAGATACTTACCTTTCGGCGGCATCTTTTGAACTTTAAAAGAAAAAGGGCTCTAGGTCATATTATAAATGTGAATAAATTAAACAGACAATTCTATTTTACAAGTGGCAAAGGCGAATCTCTTTAAGTTCTGACGTCACGATGTAGGCAACCAACTTCGCTACTACTGTCACAAGAAAATCAGGATTATATTTATTGTTTAACTTTGAACCTTATTCGTCTTTTACATTAAATTCAACAAAAACTTATACTAACCTATTTTTATCATTCTCCAGCCGCACACACCAAAATGACAGGTGTCAGTGAATTCACATCGTTATCGTGTCAACTTACATAACTATAGCATGAAATGGTAAATTACTTAGCCAGTACATCGTCTCTCTAAATTAGTGTATATGTACGTAATCTAATCTTTCTTTCTAAGTGAATTAAATCAATGTAACGTTAAACAGTATGCACATTTACAATAACTCATATGTGACCGCGATTGCTCGTGTCTACCAGTTAGTAATTGCTGTGCAACTAAGTACATTCCAATCCCTCATATGGGCAGCGCGATCACGTCCAGTTAATGCTGGGTATACCCCTGCATTGTCTTCCAGGGCACAGTGCAATAAGAGTAGGTGCGAAAAAAAAAAATACGGGTTGCACTCCGGGAGTGCCGGCAGAAGTGAAAACTTGAATATTAACGTTGTGCATTATTGATTTTTTGGAATAGTTAGGGAATAATTTTGAACGAATTGCTTTTATTATCAATATAAAAGTACTATCATTTATGTGGTAGAATACAATATTTATTGCGCTATCATACACATACATTACAATTTATGTTACATTAAATTACATTGTATTACATTAAAAAGTTTATCTCGGAAAAATCAATCAATCAATGTTGAAATCTCCACTCAAAATCATTGGCAATTCATCAAAGCGTTTTCCAATTTTTTTTTGAAGCAATGCGAATGCGTCATGAGAATAAATAAATAAATTTTCGTACAAGAAGTCTCGTATAAAAAATTTTTGAAATTGAAATTTATTGCACGTTTATTTGCTGTTTTTTTTTTATTTGGTGTCGTCGGCATCGACTGCTAAGGTCATTAGCCTCGTTTCTGTGTAGGCTTTGTTTTATAAAAATAGATTTTTAAAAAATCGATTTTTTTAATTAATCGAAAACCTTACAATCGATTAAAAAATATCGTCAATCGAAAGAAAACAATCGATTGTTCGATTAATCGATTTCGATGTTACAATACTACTCTCCAACCGTCTTACGAATTTTCGATCAGCCCACGTGTCCTGACGCGAGTTTCACAGTTTTTACCCATCCCACAAAAGTGCTCAACGCCGCTAAAGAAGTTTTCACTTCAAAAATAACTTACATATTTTATATTTTCCTCAATGCCTATTATTATTCCAATTTATTCCAAGTTATTCCAAATTTATTCCAAATTTATTCCAAATTTATTCCAAATTTATTCCAAATTTATTCCAAATTTATTCCAAATTTATTCCAAATTTATTCCAAATTTATTCCAATTTAAAAAATATCGACAATCGAAAGAAAACAATCGATTTCGATGTTACAACACTACTCTCCAACCGTCTTACGAATTTTCGATCAGCCTACGTGTCCTGACGCGAGTACCACAGTTTTTACCCATCCCACAAAAGTGCTCAACGCCGCTAAAGAAGTTTTCACTTCAAAAAAAAAAAACAAATTAAGTTATTGCTTTTAATTATCTACAAAACTTTCGATTTATGATCAAAGATCTCTTTCTCTTACGCCGTTTTTTGCGAACTCCCTCCTGCTTGGATAATTCTTACACCTGCTTTTAAACCTCTTCGACGAGCAATTATTGATGTCGACTACGCTTTAATTCTTGTTGATGTTTTGCGTTGCTTAAAACAAGAACTATACATATTTAGAAACTTTTCCGTATTATCATTGTTACACATCACGTTATTAATTTCGGACAATTTTGTCAACATACATATTGAATTATTTTTTTTCCGCAACGGCAAAAGTTATTTCTAAGTTTTTTTTTTTTTATTTATGTAGTTCTGATTGATATTCTTCAAGATATTACTGAGGCCCTTCCTATGGTGCCTCAATATTGCATTCGTGCAGACGAAAAAAAATTCTTACCCCATTTTTTAAAATTTTTTTTTCATGTTTCCGATCATTCTGAGTCGTCTGTATGTATGCCGGCACGATAACCCTAGAACGAAAGTTCTGATTGACTTGCAGTTTTGATTTTCTTGAATAATTACTTCTAACTTAGAACCCTATTGATTTTCAGAATTTTCGGTTCATCCTAGCTACTTTATAATCAATTTTCTTAAAATCCGCATATGCATTTCTTATGTTACAATTTTAGGAATTTCAGTTATTTCTAAGTCAACATTCCTAACATTCTTAAAATTCCATAAATTGCAAACATTCTCTAACGACCTGTCAAACAACAGCTGTTGATAGTAAAGGTGAAATTTCTAACTGTGATGTGTGAATGGCTCTTAAATGTCAAATTATTTAAAAATGTATACTTCTTTTGATATTTATTGCAAATAATTTGTAGTATATCTCAATTCAGGCTTTCCATAAAGGTACAGCAAGATAGATAATATAATGTTCTTGTACAAAGGTTTTTTTTGTAAAAAAAATTATTTTACGATTTTGGATTACATATTCAACCAGCGAATTGTAAATAATAATTAGTAAACTTCTAGTCATAAATTTTCTCAATGAATAAAATTTAAAAATGAATCTTCTTACCTTGGTACCGAGGTATTTTGTTGTTTTTTATTTTAATTATAAAGTCATTTATTTGTATGTTGAAAGAAGGCCTTTGTAAATTACATTGCTCTCTATGGATCTACTTTACCACAAAAATAGTTTTGTGGCTATAAGTTGCTATAACCTATCGTCGCAAAACTATTAATAATTTCGGGCCTCGCATGTGAAAACCTTGCCTCAGATAGTATCTTGCACATGTATTTGCGGGCCTCGTATGTGACAACTATAAATCTATATATAAAAAATATAAATATGTAAATCAAAATATATTCTTTTTATTTAAATATTTATTTTTATTTTTACAAATGCTACTCACGTGACCATTGTTAACGCACTTATGACACTTCGAAAAAAAGCACTGATCGCTTGCATGATTCGATTTACCACAATGGCGGCAAGAACTTGGACCGGCACTATTTTCTTCTCTGAATGGCTGATATTTTTTCTTATTTTTGACAAAAATTTTGCAAGCCGATTCACTGAAGATAAATTATCAATTAGAACAGCATTTTTCTGCGGCTTCAATATTTAATGCTAATTCTAAAGCCGTGTTGTAAGGTAACTTTTTTTCTGTAAAAAGTCGTTGACGACTCTCAGTTTACTAAGGTGTCCTTTTAGTCGGCAATGCCCAGTAAGGATCCTTGTTACACAATACGTAGTCTGTTCTTGCTCAGGAAAATGTAGACTTCCGATCTTTTCTGGTTATATTCACCGATAAGTATCTTAGCTTCAGCCCCAAGAGATTGTTCCAACTTTCGGTTTTTCTACTGCCCAATTCTTTTTTAATCTTTCCTAATATTATGTTGCTGCTGATACCGCAGAACGGCTCAGGTTCCACAAAGGGTGTTTGAGCCCCTCTCCTTTCGAGGCTATCTGCAATCTCGTTACCCTGTACCGCGTTATGTCCCGGGACCCAAGTGAGAGTAACTCTATTTTTCTCGTCTAGCTCATTCAATTGTTCTAGGCATCTCCAGACCATTTTTAAGCTGATTACGTAAGAGCTCAGCGCTTTGATGGCTGCTTGGCTATCGGACATGATGATGATCTCTTGTCTACGATAGTTCCTCTCGATGTTAAACTGGTTACACTTCTCGATGGCGTGAATTTCCGCCTTGAAGATGCTTGGGTATTTTCCCAAGTCGGAGTGCTTGGTTCTCGGCCCACACACTCCTATTCCAGTTCCTTTTATGGTTTTGGAACCATCCGTATACCACTGAATAGCATGTCTTTCGGTTGCAAGCGCGATGGATTCTTGCCTTCATTCTTTCTTGCAGCCCAGCTCTGTGGTTTTGAAGTTTTTCACAAAACTGTACTTCTTTATCATTTTATCCTGGGGCATAACACAGGTATCTTTTGTCCTGAAACAAGTAGACTTTCGTCTGATTACTCCGTGCCTGATCATTCTATATCGTGTCCTTTTGCCACATTCTCCATCATTAAATGTAGAGGGGTGAGGTTTAACATCGCGGCCGTAGGGCAGGTTCTCATTGTACCGGTGATGCAAATACAGGCTAGTCTTTGTACTTTTGAGATATTGGCTCTCGTTGTAGCTAAACTAGTTCTGTTACTCCAGGCTGTAGCTCCGTAAGTGATGATTGGTCTCACTATTGCAGTATACATCCATCGCAGTGTGTTCGGGTTTCATCCCCATCGTTTACCCGCAATGTTTCTGCATACCATTAGGGCTTTTGTGGCGTTATTTACTACTCCCTTCTCATGTGTGTTCCAGAGAAGTTTGTTCTCCACGGTTAGGCCTAGATATTTGACTTCATTTTTCCATTCTATATCTATCCCGTCTAACGGTTTTGAGATTAAGTTTTCTTTTCTTTGACCTGTTGTTTTTGACACCATCTTTTGGTATGTTCTAGTCCTCGTTGGACTCTATCACACAGGATATTTTTAAACTTGTCTCCTATGACTATGTCGTCGGTATAACCTTGACAGGGTATGCCGAGGTCGGTCAATCTGCATAGAAGTTCGTCTACAGTTAGGCTTCACATTGGTGGGGATAGAACTCCTCCTTGTGGACATCCTCTGGTTGTGCAGATGGAGTCCTGCCCTATCTGTGTCTCTGCAGTTTTCGTAGATACAAAGGATGTGAGGCTGATTGGTCGGAAGGATTTAGGACGTGTGGTATGCTTTTTTCCTACTTTTGGTATAAAGGTGACTCTGGCCCTTCTCCATGCTTCTGGTATACCAGTTAGACTGCTTCGGGATAACCGGATTATGTGTGGTAGCAATACTTCCTGTGCCTGCTGAAGCAGGGCAGGAAATATTCCATCCACAACTGGAGACTTAAACGTATCAAAAGTGTTTACGGTCCACTTTAACCGATTTCTGCTGCATATGTGTTTGGATACTACAGCGGCCTCTCTTGGGGGCCTGCTTACCTTAGTTGTGTCCCTTAATAGAAAAGGTGTGCTTACATTTGGTTTCTTTAATGCCATACTCTCCCTTTTGCCAGGGCCCTGAGCAGTCTCGCTGTCGCAAGTGTAGAGTTAATATCCTTGCAGAATTTTCTGAAGCAATTACGTTTAGCTTTCCTGATTTCTTTGTTGTGCCTCGGTGTAGCTCTGCCAATCTCCTATTATAGAGCTTCTGCACTTCGGATCGTAAGTCTGACAGATGACGGTTCCACCAAGGACCATCCCTACTAGTTCGGTTATGGCTTACTTTTACAGAAATAATTTTTATTGCCTCAGTCCCAAGAATACATTTTTCTTCAGCCATTACAATATAAAAAAAGTTCAAAATAAATGTCTAATTTAGTTTCCAAAGATTTTCTACTATACAGGGTGTTCCGCATAAGTACCGACACAGAACAGGTCCGTGTTGGGTACCACAAAATTTGATGATTTAACGCAATTTACCTCTATACCAAGTCGTACCCCTAAGGAGTTACGGAGATCTAAAGTGGGGCCATAAATTTCCAAAAAAATTAATATCTTTGCAACCGTTTAACTTAAATCTATATTTGGTAAATTATTTAGGCGCTTAATGAATCTTAATTTGTGGGTGAGTAAGAATTATTTGAAATATTTTAAGCGGTGGTTTTGGGGTAACCATGATGACAAAATAGTTCTCTATAGTTATAAGGGTCGGTTACCCCAAAACCACTCCTTAAAATATTTTAATTTATTCTTACTCGCCCTCAAATTAAGACTTATAAAGCGCCTAGATAATTTAATAAATATATAGATTTTTTAAGATAAACGGCTGCAGAGATATTAAATTTTTGGCCCTACTTTAGGCCTCTGTAACTCCTTAGGGGTACAAATTGGTGTAGAGGTAAATCATATTTTGGGGTGCCCAACACGCACCTGTTCTGTGTCGGTACTTAGGCGGAACACCATAATTGCAATCAACATAAATTATCACAAATTTAAAATTCTTGACCAAACTTATGTTTTAGTGGTGCCGAAGACAAACACGGTTACTTATGGGACCGCCACTACGGCACTTGTTTAGCGAAATTCCCTCATCAAGATGTGGTAAACTCAGTGGCGTTCAATCCTAAGGACCCGGAAATGTTGGTCACTACGTCTGACGATCACTGTATAAAAGTATGGCGATCCAGAGCGAAAGTTGACAGTTTAAATTTAGATGAATCGACATTTCCAAAAGGTGTCGAATTAAGAAAGGACCAAAATTGTAATAAATCGAAGAAATTTAGATAATATTTACCGATTTAAATAATAGATTTTATTTATTTTTTACCGTAAACGTTTCGAAATATTTTTATTTATTTTTGATTGTATCGTGTGACAGTTTTTTGCTGTGCAAGTTATATGGAGTATTTTTCGCCGATATACCTAAATATTTTTTTGTAAATGTTTGATATTTATTATATTAAATTATATAAATTGTTGACGTAAAATTTCGTTTTATTTCATTTAGTTCGTTTAAGGCTGAGCCATCATCCCAAATGGTAAAAAGTGTATTATGTTGATTAAGTGATAGAAATACCCCAAGTCCTCTGACAAAAGAGTATCGCATTTTGAGTTACCGTTGTACGTGTCTTCTTATTTCAGTTGTGCTTTGTTGTTGCTTAGCAGCGTAAACTTTATTAAGGCACGAATACAAGAAGTCACTTTAAAAAAATTAAGATTACATTTTGTCTACAAATACTAGAACAATTACTTTCGTACTTTATAAATAAATTTCCCAGCTGAACATTGGTTTTTAGCGTTTTTAAAGATAATCCAAAATAGGTGCAAATTCGTGAAACAGATTCTTTGTTAAAAAAATATATTATAACAAGAGGCACAGAAAATATTTATTGGATAACTCATATAAATTTTTTTAATCAATATTATTTTCTTCACAATTACAAATATAAAAGAGTCATCTGCTGACTACCATGAAGATATGACCGCCAATCTCTTTGAACTGCTGCCAAATCTTTCCCCAAATTCTGTTATTGTTTTGAACAATGCGCCTTATCATTCCCGTCCACATAACAAAATTTTCAATAGCAGCACAAAGAAGAATGACATTATTAAATTCATGGAAAATAAAAATATGGAAATTCCTACAAAGGCTACTAAAAAAGTGCTATAGCTATAAAAAAGAAAACTTTCAAAAAGAATATGTAATCGACAAGATCCATGGTCATATTATTCTGTCTTCCTCCCTATATATGAAAGGTTATTAATGAAGTAAACGACAGTGGTAAATGGATAAAATCTGCCCAACATGTCATACAAAAGGAGAATGAATATTGTATTTTACTTTTCATTGACCACATTATTTTAACCCTAAATTCAGATTCAAGTTCTGAAAATTCAGCTAATGACTCTTAACTTTTTATTAAATTCACATGGCAGGACAAACTGGTGTTTTTGGCATTACACTATATTTCTAATAAAGAAAACTATCCGTGTAGGTATATGAAAAATAAAATTAATTTTGGAAAAAATTATATCACGCCGCCCATGCTATACAAAGAAGCCGCCGACGGTGGGTAGATATTTAGTTTTTATGTCGAACTTTATGGGAACTTTTAATGTGTTGATCCCATCAAAAATAAATAATATAATTAAAACATTGGTCTAAGATCCGAAGTAAGGTCGACCTTTTTATTAAATAAAATGTTTATAAATATACCGCAAATGGGTTGCCTAAGAAAATACGGTCCAGACTATTTATCTTCTTAAAGTAAAAAAAATGACACCCTGTAAAGTATTCCCCAGGTGCTTAGACTATGTCCAAACTTTAATCTGCTCACCGCAGAATGGATTAAAGCTTAAGTTTAAAATTTGGTGTTTTTCTCTTCATCCGTTTTTGAGTTCATCTTCAAAATTCGAAATTTGCATTTTTCCTGAAATATATCGAATTAGGTCCATTTTAGGGAAATCATGTATAGGGACAAAATAATAGGGAATGACATCATAAGCAACTTTTATCATGATTCCTATACTTTCCTTATATGTACGCAGAAAGGAAAGTAAAAAATGGCCGTGACCGTACTCTCTTAGGCAACCCATTTGCGGTATATTTAAAAACATTTTATTTAAAAAAAACAAAAAACTTTTATCCATTAAACAGATGGGTGAAGGTCGACCTTACTTACGGAACCAGGACTACATGTATAAGTCTTAGATAATATATGTACAGATAGGCTACCCCTGTATAAATCTATAGAATGTTGATGTCGCTCTAATAAAATCATTGTTTCTTTGTCTAATACAGGCTTTCTCGCTCATATTAGAATCTTCAGCAGTAGCGTACGTAAACGGATTGCATTGGGTTATTTTAAATGTGAAAATAGTGACTGAAAATAGATTAAAAAAGTACAAAATAATGTGTTAAAAGATAGGTACGTTTTTATTGAACTGAAAACAAAATAAGACATTATTGTCATATCAAAAAATATAATAAATATTTTATTGCTTCTAAAACATTTAGAATTACAACAAGGATTTGGAATTCTATAAAATATCTATACCTGTTGAAAACCTATACAATGGTAGAACTGAAGAAATACATAGGCATTTAATTTAAACATGACATAATATTCCTAATAAAAATAAAACAAACCAATATATATTTACCTATTTAGTATAAGTAGAAGTATTTCAGGACATTAAAAAAATATATAGGAATTTAATTTACTTTTCTAATGACTTCGTTTAAAATATAAATTATCTAGTTATTTTATTTAAATTAGGTAACTAAATATTCTTATGTTACTAATGATAGTTTATATTTTAGATCATGTACAAATATATACAGTATGCGTCCAAAAACTAATAATTCTTTTGATATTGCACATACTTTTTCAGTCATCTTAATTGTGTCTGTAATGTTTTATTTCTGTTTCGTAAGTTTGAAGCAGTACTGTTGGCAAAAAAAAGTCTTCGTAATGACCGATTTTCTAGAAACTTCAATGTAAAGTTACCAAAATATCTTTAGGTTTTCTGAAATAGGTATTCATATACAATTTAATGTATCAGCTTAGATCAAATCCAATGTTTGATTTAATTCTTAATTAATGGTGCCTCAAATTTTGTTGATGAGAATTTCAGAGTCATACCTTGAACTTAATATTAAAATGTATGAGGTACTTTTGTTCAAACTATAACTTCTTTTATTTGTTGGCAAGTTTAATACTCTTAAAGAAGGCCCATAATCAAATAATTTAGTATCTGAAGAAATTACTATACTAAAAACATTCAAACATATTATTGGTTTGCAAAATTATACAATAACTTCTATTTTTTTTAGGTGACATAGGTTCACCACTACTCTTGTTTCCTACTTTGTTTGTGTAATACAAAGTTCCTAAAAAGTAAAGATACAATTTTTAAAAGTTCTCGATATTATTTAGAAACGTACAAACTTATAAATATATTCGTTGCAGTAAAGCCGTCCCCTAAAAAGTGAATTGAACAAATGTAATATTTTCGTTCAACTTCTAACATTTCAGTCCATTCAAGTGCCTCTAACCATAAGTTTCTTCTAATTCGTATTTTAGAATACTAAATATAATTATTTTATTTTTTTTAATATTCATATTTTATTCTTTTTTTCTCCTAAAACGACGCCCATGTTCTTCGGTAAGAAATAATATTTACAAGTGAAACGTAACCTTACTTCCTCTTTTATATTTGAAACCACATAAAACACAAGTCTTTTCCTAGTATACAACAAACCCTACAAATCAAAGTCACTTTTAACACCACCATACTTGAACGAATTTAAGTAAAAACTTATAAAATTGTCTAAAAATAACTGAAAAAATAAATATAGAGATATTAATTTATTTCTCTCTAATTAGAATCTTTGATGCGATTCTCGACCATATTATCAAGGCGACACAAACATTGTTTACTGTCCTCTCTGTACTACTCGAGGTATAAATATATTTTTAGCAAAAGTATGATATAAAGTCAAAAATATAAAAAGTCATATTGATAATCAATCAATCAAGCTACCACATAATGAAGGGTACTTGAAAAAGGTGATGAGTTTGTACTTATGAAACTTGCTAAGGTAGGAAGGTATGTAGTGCAACTGAGGCACTACAATGCTTCCCCCTTTTTTAAGTGTATTTGTTAATTAGAGGTTTTATATAAGTTTTTGTGTTTGAATAGTTCAGTATTGTTCTAAGAGTATTATTTGTGTTTGGTTAATATTAGTTTTGTTGGTACCCATTAGTAATTGCTAAGTATCCGATAGGTTCTTTCTACTTGAAATAAATAATAATAATCCAAACATAAAAATTATCCACAATAATATTCGAAGTATAGAAAAAACCTAGATGAGTTTGAAATATTTTTAGAAGACCTAGACACATCTATTATTGTATTTACAGAAACTAGGAGCATACCAAATGTCAAGATATATAATATTGATCGTTATAAGACACTTTATAACAACGGCACTCGAAATCAAAATGATGGTGTATTGGTTTTCATAAAAACAGAACTATATCTAGATCATATAAATGTAAAGCTAAGCGATTCCTTTGTATTACGTGTAAAATTAGAATAAAACAAAAACATTGTCTATATAAACTCATTTTACAGATCCCCTTCAGATAGACATATTTTTAGAAGGTTTAAGAGATATATTAGAAAGTCACCCTAAACAATTTGCTTACAATATTATTATTGGTGATATTAATATTAACTTATTAGCTAAAAATATAGAGGACACCCAAAATTATTTAACCTGCTGAATATGGTTTCCCATCGGCTATAAATACTGTTACCAGACCAGATTCCGGATCTTGCGTAGACCACATTTTTATAAAATCAGATAAAAACAATTTCAATAATATATCATCAACTGTGGAAACATTCATTACAGACCACTTTGTAATATTATTACAAATTATGTTTAATAATTGCAATGTTAAACCTAATATTAATGAAGATAAAAATTACTACAAACAAATTAATAACAAAAAATTATTAGAACATATACAACATATAAATTGGTGTGAATTTATAAATATTGAAAATCTTGATTTCTCAGTTGATAAACTTGTAGACTATATCCAAGATGCTATTAAAAAAATCTGAAATTAAAATAAAATGAACGAAAACGATAGGCTTGGATAACTGGATCATTGATTAAACTCATCAATAAAAAAAATATAAAAATGATCCACAAAATGCAAGTTTATATAGTGAGTACAATAATTATAAAA